ACAGTAGTGTCCCCAAATATCTCACATTCTATCCCAAACTGAACTCCTCATTCCCCCCACCAAAACAAAACTTATCCATATCCTATATTTTATCTCAATGGCTGACTTCCTCATTTAATCTCGTAAGTGAAAAGCTGAGCTACATTCGTTTCTCTTCCTTACTCGAACGTCTAATGATTACCATTCTGTTTCCATCAGATCTCAATCTCTCGTAGTCTAGCCCATCCTATTTCTGTTGCTTTAGTTCAGGTCCAGTTCTTCCCCCTTGCAGCTGTCCCCCATACTACCTCCAGAGAGGTACTGTTTGTTCTATAGGAATTTTGGTGGGCAAAGACCTTCAAATAGTATCTTGTCTATTCCCTATGTGGGAGTCCTGGTGTGGCGCTATGGGCTAATGCGCTGGACTGCAAAGTCAGTTTGAATGGCAAGATTAGTGGTTCATGCTCACCAGCTGCTCCTTGGAAACCCTATACAGGATCACTATGGATTGGAAATGACTTGATGGCACTTAATAGCTAACAACAGCATTACCTATGTGATTGCTCTTACTGTCATTATTTAAAAAAAATAAAATTAACAGAAGTGGTTAAATGCTTGCCTACTAGCTGAAAGGTTGGGGCTTCAAGTCCACCCACTGGAGCCTCAGAAGAAAGACCTGGTCTGGTGGTAGGTACACTTCTGAAAAGTAAGCCATTGAAAATCATATGGAGCCTAGGTGTGCTCTGAAACACACGAGAGAGAGCGTTATGGGTTGGACTTGATTAACAACTGTTTTTGCTTCTATGTTTATATCATTTGAGATGTAAAAGGCCTAGGGTAGATATGAAAACAAGTATTTCTGTTTTTGAAAAAAGTCCAACCATTCCGTTTTCAGCATGTTTTCAAAACAAATTTGGGATCTCCATGACTTGTCTGTCAATTTGCCAGACTGTGCTGGCTTGTGTGTTGCATAGCAGCAGAGCATTGTTAGATACAGTGCCAGAAAAGGAACCCCTTGGGTTGGAAGGCATGCAACATAAAAAGAACTGCCTCTTAAAAGTACTGTTGACCATGAGAATGCAGAGAAGAGTCAAGATTTTAGGACCTTCATTTGTTGATGGGGCACAACTCAAAATGAGAAACAGCTGTAAACATCCATTAATAATGTGAACATGGAATGTACGAAGTCTAAATCTAGGAAATTTGGAAGTTGTAAAAAATGGAATGTGTAAATGGATTGATAACCTAGGCATTAGATGTCCTGGTGTGGTGCTGTAGGATAAGCACTGGACCACTAATTGCAAGGTAGGTGGTTCAAACCTATCAACCACTCACTCCTCAGAAATTCTATGCAGGGTTGCTGCAAGTTGGCCATCAGTAACAGCTGTAAGAGTGAGCTGAAATGGACCGGTACTCACCATTTTGAATCAGGCAATCATATGCCGGGAATGACAAGTTGAAGAGAAATGCTATCTCACTTATCATCAAAAAGAACAGGTCAAGATCTATCTTTAACTGCAGTAGTGTCTGTGATAGTTCTGGTGTGGCACTGCAGGTGAATGCACTGGACTTACTTGGCAAGGTCAGTTTGAACCTCAAGGTCAGTGGTTCAAGCTCACCAGCCGCTGCTCAGAAACCCTATAGGATTGCTATGAGTCGGAACTGACTCAAACCCTATAGGATTGCTATGAGTCGGAACTGACTCCACAGCACTTAACAACAACAAGGAAGATTAGTTAATGCCACTATTATTCAAATTTATGCACCAACCAATAAAACCTGTGTTGATAAAATTGAATTCTCCCAATTTCTTCAGTCTGAACTTGATCAAATGTGCAATCAAGATATACTGATAATTACTGGTGATTGGAATGCAAAGGTTGGAAACAAGGAGGAAGGATCAGTCAGTAGCTAGAAAATATGGTCTTGGTGATAGAAAGGATGCTGGAAATTGCATGACAGAATTTTTCAAGATCAACAACTTATTCATTGCAAACACCTTTTTTAGACGACATAAAAGGTGACTATACCCAGATGGAATATACAGAAATCAGCTTTTACCACATCTGTGGGAAATGATGATGGGAAGCCAAAGCATGTCCAGGGGTCGACTATGGAACAGACCCTCAATTGCTCATATTCAAGTTCAGGTTGAAGCTGAAGAAAATGGTTGAGGGGCTGAGCAAAATAAGGCAACTGTGTAGGACATATAAGTGTCACTGCTAGAGCAGTTTCTGTGGTGCTGAAGGATAAGCACTGCTAGCCACAGGTCAATGGTTCAAACCCACTCTCTGCTCCTTGGGAATCCTATACAGGGTCACTGTGAGTAGGAACTGATTCAACTGCACTTAACAACAACATGGAAGGGAGCTCACGGCAATGACTGAAAAAATAACTTTGGAAGTGAGAAAGTGGATGCGCCATACGTGGATAACTTTCAGAGAAGTTTAGCTACAAAGCAAGCAGATGGAAAGATGAGGTCTAGGTAGAAGGGTGTAAGAGATGACAGGAGACTTTGCTTTCAGCATTTATTAAGTGCTGTCGAGTCTATTCCGACGTGTAGCAACCCTGTACAGGGTTTTCAAGGAGCAGCTGGTGGGTTTGAACCACTGATCTTGTAGTTCAGAAGCACATGAATCTAATGA